ATCTGCATTTTATCACGTCCACTACACACAGGAGGCCAAATGTAGATAAGTCACGACTGAATAATCTGCTCTCATTATTACGCCCAAGGGAAAGCTTTTTGTCTTCGTTCGTTCTCATTTTGTGGAATCGAAGGATTCGGAATCTTAATCGACAAATTAACAACACTGACAAATCTTCAAAATAAGCACACTAGCTCAAAAGCGTAGATGATAACCTACCTCAAAAGCTTTCCGATTTACCCAGGCAACATGACCGCTCTGGCCAACCACAACGACGGGGACTTCAGACGAAAATACTTTATCCAGAAAGTCCGCAGAAAGCAATGGCAAGCTAGGGATAAGCTCTGGGTCCCAACCAAAGAACAACGCCCATGGGAGAGGAGAGGTTTCTGTGTCGAGTTTACGAATAGTCTCCTTCATTTTTTCGTTTACGTCGTTATATGTGTGGTAATCATAGCCACTAATGTTAGTGTACGCCGTGTTAACCAGGACCAATGCCGTAGCATGCGTGTGTGGCTCAATGAAGCCCGGGAGAAGGGTTTTTTGATTCAGATAGATAACTTTCGTCGTCTCACCCGCTAGGGCAAACACTTCATCTAGTTTTCCTACCGCTGTAATGATATTTCCTGTGACGGCTAGAGCTTCAGCAGAAGGATTTTTTTCATCCATAGTGATAATACTACCACCATATAGGATAACATCAGCTGTAGAAGACATTTTTAAGCGAGCGTTTCCCACGAAGTCTTTCAACTGCGAGGCTATAAGATCAATGTTTCAGAACAGGTTTAACCTGAACAGCTTAACCCTTTCACTCCCAAGATCTAATTAGTAATTCTCCTTACTATCTACCATACAATTCTTATGATGTTAGTTCAGAGAAATTGGTATTGGATCAACTAATAATAATTGATATTCTTCTCTATTCTCATTACCTACCTGCTTGATATTGTATTGATATGTGAGGAGAAATTCTGTCTTGGTCACTTGTGGGATTGAAAGGGTTAAGCTCAAATCAGCTTGAGTTTCGTTGGGAAAAATTTACAATCCCAGCGGGGTCTAACAGATTACTGCTTGGACATAGTTTGATGCTACTCTGGTTTGCAGATTTAATGAATGTAACCGAAAAAGGTACAATTCATAGACCCAACGTTTCGACACTCCTGTCTAGTGCCTTCAATGAATAAATGGCGTCGGTTAGCTGTCCGCCCACGCTCCTTTAAATCGTGACGATGGCGGTTTGCTTCCTGACGCCTATTTACACCTCGTCAGAAAAAAGGCCGCTAATTAGTGATCATATAAAAGGACCTCTTGTTGCAGCGTTTAGATCACCCCTGGTGAAGGCACTAGACAAGAGTGTCGAAACGTTGGGTCTATGAATTGTAACTTCTTCGGTTACATTAATTAAATCTGCAAACCAGAGTAGCATCAAACTGTGTCTGTTAGTCCACCTGGTTGCGTGTGAACTTTAATATAGATTACTGCTTATATGTTTTTCAGCTTATTCAGTGGCGTGTATTTCCTTTCAAGGCGGATAATGCACTGACCACTCAAGCAGCAAGTGCTGCGAGGTCTTGGAAGAGTGAATACCATATAGTTCGATACTAAAGTCGGATCGGAAAATAATATTAATAGCAAACATAAGACCCGAAAGCTCTCTCTTGTTCCCATGGTCCTCTACCGTTCTTCCCTGAGAAAGTGCAGAAAGAGAGAAAATCTTGGGAACAAGCTTGGGAGAAATATTTGGCTCGCACGTTTCAAAATTCCCTCCACCATTTCCTCTCTGAAAAAAGAAAAAGAAAACTTAACTAAACAACGAACCATGTCAATAAATGTTTAATTCCTAAAATTCAATCACATGTGAGGTTTTGTCTCATATTCCAGACAAGACACTATATGATTAATGTTGAAAAGTTTAGGGGGGAAGCTCTTACTTCATGTATGCCTGTTGGTTTTAGTCGGTCGCTTCGAAGCATATAGACAAATTGCATGGGAGAAGAAAATACAAGTTAAGATATAGATGACATCTGACGTTAGTCTTTGAGGACACGGATTGAATTTCTACTTACACTACAACACTACATACAAGTTACCGTTTACTTGTTCATTTCTCTCCAGAGACTTTCTCAGGCGTAAGATTGGGCTCATGGTTCACCAAGAACTTCCCATCGAGGATCTCCATCGCGCTCAATTTGGACAGATTTATCGGGAAGCCGTTCCGAGAAGGTTCACACCACTTCTATGTGCTCTAATTCTACTGGTTCTACTTGGTAGGGATTCTTAGACAATATGAGCAGATTCTTGTAGCCTGCAGGACAAAGAGTATCGGCGATCGTCGCTTCAGTACCGGATGAGAGTAGAGTGACAACAATGACACGTCTTTCAATCTAGCTGATCGACGCTCGCCGGTCAGGCCAATCCTCTGTTTTGTTGAGTTCTTGCCGTGCAAGATGCCGAGAGTTTCGACAGTGATACTTCTGTCGCAGAATTCGGTTTGCGAAAGGTTTGACCTTTTAGGACGAGGCTCTTTGTTTGGAAAATGAA